CTTCACACACTCAAAATAACAGCAACAAACTCCCACAATCATAATGGGAATTCTTTTTTTTTTTTTTTTTTTCAGTACGCGGGCCTCTCACTGTTGTGGTCTCTCCCGTTGCGGAACACAGGCTCCGGATGCGCAAGCCCAGCGGCCATGTCTCACGGGCCCAGCCACTCCGCGGCATGTGGGATCTTCCCGGACCGGGGCACGAACCCATGTCCCCTGCATCGGCAGGTGGACTCTCAACCACTGCGCCACCAGGGAAGCTCGGGAATTCTTAATAGACCTGAGAAGTAGACAGATAAGGACATGTAAATAATTATTTGGAGGATTTGAATAGGTGTGTTTTAGTCCACATTATTTTCAGATATTCATGGAACATTTATAAAAGTTAATCTTCTAAGAAAATTTCATTTAAAATATCTAAATTAAAAACACCCTACATAGAAAATTTTAGGTTACTTTTTCTAAACTGAGTACAATAAAACAAGACATTAACAATAAAAGGATAACCCTCAAAACCAAGTACTTGGAAACTAGTAAGTAGTCTTCTTAAAAGCTCTTGGGTCTAAGAGAAAATCTAGTTTGAAATTACAGTCCATTTAGAAATTAATTACAATAAAAACTCTATATCAAAACCTATGTAATATTGTCAAAGCACCCATTAGAGGAAAATTCATAGCTTTAATAGCTTTTAATATTAAATATGAAAGATTGAAACCAACAGAAGCAATCATTCGATTCTAGAAGTTTAAAAAAGTCAAAATAAATTTAAAACTAAGGCAGGAGTAAAGAATTAATGAGAACAAATCGAGTCTGGAAGGATGGAGGTGCTCTCACTGGGGCCTCACAACTCCTCCATGTTGACGTGCTATTGTCAATCCCTGCTTCGGCTGTACGGTGCGGGCCACGACTCAGTGTGGGTGTGGATGGAAAAGTGTAGGGTCCACAGACTGCGAGGCTGCTGTAGAAAGGCAAAGAGAGATTGTCGGGGCTGTCTTCCCATCTTATACGTGAGTGCCTGCAGAGGCGGGGGTGACGGGAATGGCTCAGAGGCCCGCAGCCAAACAGGCAGGGCGGGGACCAGGGCTCTGACTCAGATGCTGTACTGCAGCCTCTCCTCCTTGGCCAGGTTTGCAGAGGCCATGGGTGTGGAACACGACTTGGCCTTGAACAATTTGCCGTCTTCAGTCCAGCCGAGGGAGGGCGTGTGTGGGAGAGTTGTAAAGTCTCCTTCTGGAATGTGTAGTGGCAGCTAATCTTTCTCACCTGTCACCGCCAAGCCTCACCTGCTTCTTCCTGCCAAACCGCTGGCTCTGGGCTTCCAGCTAGGCAGCCTGGGATTTGACTCCTGTGTGGAAAGGCAGCCTTTTGCTTTCCATTATTTAGAGCTATACACATAGGAGGTGCTTCATAAATGTGGCTGATGGACCAATGGAGCAAGTTTTCCACTTGGTCACCTTTCTGGCTTTTACAGCCTGGTCTCTTTACTCCATCTGGCCACCCTCTGGCCGTGTGGACATGCTCACTTTGCGCTCCAGCCAGGCCACGCTTTGGCCACACTGTGATCTGTTCTTGAAACACTCTTCTCCTAGTTTCTGTCTGGAAAATTCCTATTTATCCTCCACAACTCTGCTTAAATATGAAGGCTTCCCTGATTTTTCCAGACAATGCCTCTTTATTCTCAGCCTCTTGTGCATTCCCAGCTTGGAGCACTTTCCCTTTATATTGTAATTATTTATTCACATGCCTGTGGTCCTTACTAAACAGAAAACTCCAGTGTGTAGCTGGCACGTGTAGAAGGAGGTCAATGCATATTTGTTAAAGGATGAGTCAGTGCTCCACGCAAGGAAACTTCCAGTTCGATCTGGCAGAAGCTTATTTTTCCTAAGTTTTTTCACTTGACATTTTTTTATGAAAAATTTAAACATACACCAAAATAAAAAGGATTTTACAGTGTACCCTTGTATATGCATCGCTTAGATTCTACCATTAATGTTTTATTCTTCTTGTTTTATGACATATCTTCCTGTCTGTTAATCTATTAATCACCTATTATCATCCTTCACCCATCAATTAATTACCTTACAATCTGATAAGTTTCAAAGTAAATGGCAGACATCAATACTTCCTCCTAAATACTTTAGTAGGCATACTAACTTTTTAGTATTTTTAACTAAAGTCACATTCCTTGTCCAGAAATCTGAAATTGAAATCATAAGTATCCATTTTTATGACAATAATAGTAATAAATTCTTATATCAGTAGAGTATATTTATAATATTCAAAGTGATTTTATATGTATTTACTGTATACAATAACTTTAAAAGGTAGGAATTACTCTCAATGTTTTTCAGTTGAGACAACTGAAATCTGGGGAGAGAAAGGGATTTCCTAAAGCTGCTGCTAGGCAACAGCATTCATGCATGTCATCTTCAAAAATTAATTGAGAACTTGGTATGTGGCAGGCACATCTTGGGACATGGCAGAAGAGAACCTGACAGACAGCAGTTCTGTCCCAGAGTGGCTCCCACCTTTCTGGGGAAGGCACTCAACGCCTGTTCTACTGTTACAGGGCGGTGTGAGAAGGATGAGGGCAGGAGGGGCCTGGGACTTCTCTATGTCCAGAATGCTCTCCCCACTCTTTTACCCACAGCGCTCTGGAGGGTGAGACCAGGAGAGAAGGCCCTTTGAACCCAGGAAGGCTAAGGCACAGATAGCCTTCACCATGACCAGTCTTCCTGTCCTCGCCCCACCTGCTCACACCCGGTCACTCCCCTTGTACCTCCTGGGCCTCTGTGCATGCTGCTTTGGTGGGAGATTTGGAAGTTTGAACAGGAAAGGGGGACTCTTAGGAAATTCAACACAGAGTCCCCCTTCCCCAGGGTTCCAAGCTGTGTTCTTTCCACAAGTGTTCACTTCTTTCAGGGAGGAGAAAAATTAGGACAAAGGAAAGCGCATGAACAAAGGAAAGGAAGCCAAAAAGCTCAGGACCTGTCCGGAAAACCCTAGATGGTTCGACTTGGATGATGTATGGAGTGTGTAAAGGGGAATCGCAGAGAATAAGGCAGGTGGGATTGGTTAGGTCAGTCCTTAGAGGCCTTGATTGTGAAGCTAAGCTGCTCAGACTTTATCTGACCTGTGAGAAGCCACAGAAGGATTTTTGTAAAAGTTAGATTTATAATAGTAAAACTTACAGCCAGTAAAATTCACCCTTTTTAGGTATATAGCTCTATGAGATTTTTTTTCCAGTTCTGTGAGTTTTGACAAATGTATATAGTCATGTAATTAATCACCCAAACAAGCAAGATAAAGGATATTACCATCACCCCTAAAAGTTTCCTTGTGCCATTTGTAGGCCCCAGCCCCTGGCAACCACTGATGTGATTACCAGCCCTATAGTTTTACCTTTTCCAGAATGTCATATAAATGGAATCATATGCCGTATGTAGAATCTTGTTTCTTTCATTTTGCACATGGTGTTCTTGAGATCCATCCATACTGTTACTTATATTAGCAGTTTGTTCCTTTCTAATGCTGACTTGTGTTCTCTTGAATGGATATACCACAGTTTATCCACTTTCAAGGAGAGGGCCATTTGGGTTGTTTCCAGTCTGGGCAATTTTGAATAAAGCTGCTATAAGTAGTCCCATATAGGTCTTCATGTAGACATATGCTTTCGTTCTTCTTTGGTAAATATCTAGAGTAGGATTTCTAGGTCACTTGATAAATGTATGTATAACTTTATAAGAAACTGCCAAACTATTTTCTGAAAAGGTTGTATTCCCACTAACAATGTATGTGGGATCTAATTGCTTTACATCCTTATCAACATTTGGTATTATAAGGCTTTTTTTCCTTCCAAATTTAGCCATCCTAATAGGGGTATTTCCTTGTGGTTTGAATTTGCATTTCTCTAATGACAAGATGTTGGACATTTTTTCATGTACCTCCTCCATATCTCTTCTTTTGCACATTTTAAAAAACGGTTACTTGTTTTCTTCTATTAAGTGTTGAGAGTCCTTTATATATTCCAGGCATACATCCTTTATCAGACATGTATTGTGCAAATATTTTCTTCCGGACCCTCAAAAGGGTTTAAATGGAAAGTAACTCTTGTGTTTTAAAGACGTACTCTGTGGCATTGCTGGGTAGGGGAGTGGGATGGGGCCGGATGGAGACAAGGAGGCCGACTTAACGTCAGGTGAGAGCTGAGGCTCTGAGCCAGGCCAGGGGCAGTGGGCTGGGGAGGACTGAAGAGCAGAAGGCACGGAGACCCACCGGATGATCATAAAGGCCTCTTTGACCCTGTAAGCCCGCCCTCCTGCCTGCCTTCCTTTGACGGATATTTGTGGACACCACCTCTCAAGCACTTGAAACAGTCTAGGCATAGGGGAAATATCAATAAAGACATCAAAGTCCTGCCTTCATCAAGTTTACGTCTTGGTGGGAAAGACAGACCATGAACAAACACATACATGTGTGCCCCATAATGGATGGTATATGCTGTTGGACACACAAAGCAAGGGGTTCTTATAAAATGCCACCTTCCAAATGGCTTCTGAGATGAAACCAGAGAGAGTCCTCACGGGTTCCACTCTTAGGAAAGAATCCAAGCAATGGGAGGGATGTTAGACTGTGGTCAGGGGCTCTGGGCTGGAATTCTGGTCATCAGGGTGACCTCAGGCAAGTTCCCTCCTTTTTGTGACCCTCAGTCTCCCTATTGGGATGATCTTTTAGGTGCTAGGATTTTGTATTTGAAGTTCTTACAAACCGGTTTGGGGGCTCTGATGAGCCAAAGTAGGTGCATAGCAGAGGAATTTCCTCCTTAGAACCAGGCTGTTTTGTTGGACAAGCTCTAGAGGTTATCAATTTTGGCCTCTCAACTAACGTAGGATCCCCTAGGAAGCACCCTGTTCGTCCCCTGTGGGTGCCCCTCCAGGGATGGGGGGCTCAATCTCTTCCAAGAGACCAGTTCCATTTTCTCTTTCTCTGTCTTTTTAAAGGGAAAGAATCACACCTTTTACTAGGGGGAAGTGCCCTCCAACTGTGGATTACAATTCAGATCCTATTCCTTAAAGCCGCACATGAAGGACAGCTTGCAGTGACCGGAGGACCCAAAGGCCTGAAGACAGATCTAGGGATGGGAGGGTAGATGTGGGAATGGGAGTTCTTGGAGAAGGGACACATGCGAATGCCTGGGAGAGGGGAGAGGTGTAGTGGGATCACTTTTGCTGGAGATGTCTACCGGGAGGTCATGATGTCTGCTGGGCCAGATAGCTTTTGATACGAGAGATCAATTATCCTGAGAATCGGCTAGTGACATGAACAGGGGAGTCAGACAGCAGATGGACTAAAGGGGTGGAATGTGGTTGACACTCTTGGAACCCCTTTTATTCTAAAGCCAAAGTCCTTGGATCCCTGATCAGTAAAACCCAAAGAGAGTTGGGAGAGTGGAGCATATGTCCTAAGGTGGCTGTAGGCCCTCTCTGGGAATACTCCATCTCCATCCCAGGATGCTCCTGGAAGCTCAGCAGGGCCAAATGCCATGAGGAGGCTGCTGACTTCCAGGAATCATGCAGCCATTGGGAACAAACAGTTCCACTCCCAAAGTCAGAACTCGTGGGCACGCCAGTCTAGCCCAGAGGTGGGTCTTTGTGGGTTGGTCACAATGTCCTGAGCTTCTGCCCTCACTGTTTTTGGACAGTGAGAGATTGGGTGGGATGGCAGGAGTGTGTTGTCTTTAGAAAAGAGGAGACAGACTCACAGCCTCAGCCACAAAACTCACATAATGATAAAAAATACTTCAAACAATCTTAAGAGCGTGAGTGCCTTACAGAAGTTACTTCGTCACTCATGTCAAAATGACTGTTTTGGGGGTAAAACTGAATTTATTCACAGGCATGTTGTCTATCGAAAAAAAAATACTACTGAATCCTCAAAAAGGTTGATAAGCCAAACTAGGTGCAAGTAGGTCTAATAAGTCTGCAAGGTTTCAGGAAATAAGATCAATATACCCAAATCAACTATTGCTATACACTAGCAATAAACAACCAGAAATTGAAAATTGAAAATGCCATATATAATAGCATCAAAACTATCAAATACTTAGGGATAAATTTGACAAAAGAGGTATAAGACTTGTACAGTGAAAACTATAAAATTTCTCTCTGCTGAGAGAAATTAAAGAAGACCTAAATAAAGGGAGAAATATACCATAATCATGGATCAAAAGACTCAATGTTGTTAAGATGTCAATTCCCTCAAATTCATCTATAGATTCAATACCAATCAAAATCCTAGTAATATTTTTTTATTATTACATTTTTTATACAGCAAGTTCTTATTAGTCATCAATTTTATACCCATCAGTGTATACATGTCAATCCCAATCACCCAATTCAGCACACCACCATCCCCATCCTCCTGGGGTTATCCCCCTTTGATGTCCATACGTTTGTCCTCTACATCTGTGTCTCAACTTCTGCCCTGCAAACTGGTTCATCTGTACCATTTTTCTAGGTTCCACATACATGCATTAACATATGATATTTGTTTTTCTCTTTCTGACTTACTTCACTCTGTATGACAGTCTCTAGATCCATCCACATCTCAACAAATGACTCAGTTTCGTTCCTTTTTATGGCTGAGTAATATTCCATTGTATATATGTACCACATCTTCCTTATCCATTTCTCTGTCAATGGGCATTTAGGTTGCTTCCATGACCTGGTTATTGTAAATAGTGCTGCAATGAACATTGGGGTGCATGTGTCTCTTTGAATTATGGTTTTCTCTGGGTATATGCCCAGTAGTGGGATTGCTGGATCATATGATAATTCTATTTTTAGTTTTATAAAGAAGCTCCATACTGTTCTCCATAGTGGCTGTATCAACTTACATTCCACCAACAGAGCAGGAGGGTTCCCTTTTCTCCACACCCTCTCCAGCACTTGTTGTTTGTAGATTTTCTGATGATGCCCATTCTAACTGATGTGAGGTGATACCTCATTGTAGTTTTGATTTGCATTTCTCTAATAAATAGTGATGTTGAGCAGCTTTTCATGTGCTTCTTGGCCATCTGTATGTCTTCTTTGGAGAAATGTCTATTTAGGTCTGCCCATTTTTGGATTGGGTTGTTTGTTTCTTTAATATTGAGCTTCATGAGCTGTTTATATATTTTAGAGATTAATCCTTTGTCCATTGGCTTGTTTGCAGATATTTTCTCCCATTCTGAGGGTTGTCTTTTTGTCTTGTTTATGGTTTCCTTTGCTGTGCAAAAGCTTTTAAGTTTCATTAGGTCCCATTTGTTTATTTTTGTTTTTATTTCCATTACTCTAGGAGGTGGATCAGAAAAGATCTTGCTGTGATTTATGTCAAAGAGTGTTTTTGCTATGTTTTCCTCTAAGAGTTTTATAGTGTCCAGTCTTACATTTAGGTCTTGAATCCGTTTTGAGTTTATTTTTGTGTATGGTGTTAGGGAGTGTTCTAATTTCATTCTTTTACATGTAGCTGTCCAGTTTTCCCAGCACCACTTATTGAAGACACTGTCTCTTCTCCACTGTATATCTTTGCCTCCTTTGTCATAGATTAGTTGACCATAGGTGCATGGGTTTATCTCTGGGCTTTCTATCTTGTTCCATTGATCTATGTTTCTGCTTTTGTGCCAGTACCATATTGTCTTGATTACTATAGCTTTGTAGTATAGTCTGAAGTCAGGGAGTTTGATTCCTCCAGCTCCGTTTTTTTCCCTCAAGACTGTTTTGGCTATTTGGGGTCTTTTGTGTCTCCATACAAATTTTAAGATTTTTTGTTCTAGTTCCGTAAAAAATGCCATTGGTAATTTAATAGGGATTACTTTGAACCTGTAGATTGTTTTGGGTAGTATAGTCATTTCCACAATATTGATTCATCTAATCCAAGAACATGGTTTATCTCTCCATCTGTTGGTATCATCTTTAATTTCTTTCATCAGTGTCTTAGAGTTTTCTGCATACAGGTCTTTTGTCTCCCTAGGTAGGTTTATTCCTAGGTATTTTATTATTTTCCTTGCAATGGTAAATGGAAGTGTTTCCTTAATTTCTCTTTCAGATTTTTTATCATTAGTGTATAGGAATGCAAGAGATTTCTGTGCATTAATTTTGTATCCTGCAACTTTACCAAATTCATTGATTAGCTCTAGTAGTTTTCTGGTGGCATTTTTAGGATTCTCTATGTATAGTATCATGTCATCTGCAAACAGTGACAGTTTTACTTCTTCTTTTCCAATTTGTATTCCTTTTATTTCTTTTTCTTCTCTGATTGTCGTGGCTAGGACTTCCTAGACTATGTTGAATAATAGTGGTGAGAGTGGACATCCTTGTATTGTTCCTGATCTTAGAGGAAATGCTTTCAGTTTTTCACCATTAAGAACGATGTTTGCTGTTGGTTTGTCATATATGGCCTTTATTATGTTGAGGTAGGTTCCCTCTATGCCCAATTTCTGGAGAGTTTTTATCATAAATGTATGTTGAATTTTGTCAAAAGCTTTTTCTGCATCTATTGAGATGATCTTATGGTTTTGATTCTTCAAGTTGTTAATATGGTGTATCACACTGATTGATTTGTGTATATTAAAGAATCCTTGCATCCCTGGGATAAATCCACCTTGATTATGATGCATGATTCTTTTAATGTGTTGTTGGATTCTGTTTGCTAGTATTTTGTTGAGGATTTTTGCATCTATATTCATCAGTGATATTGGTCTGTAATTTTCTTTTTTTGTAGTATCTTTGTCTGGTTTCGGTATCAGGGTGATGGTGGCCTCATAGAATGAGTTTGGGAGTGTTCCTTCCTCTGCAATTTTTGGGAAGAGTTTGAGAAGGAGGGGTGTTAGCTCTTCTCTAAATGTTTGATAGAATTCACCTTTGAAGCCATCTGGTCCTGGACTTTTGTTTGTTGGAAGATTTATTTATTTATTTATTTTGCAGTATGCGGACCTCTCACTGTTGTGGCCTCTCCCATTGTGGAGCACAGGCTCCGGACACGCAGGCTCAGCGGCCGTGGCTCACTGGCCCAGCTGCTCCGCGGCATGTGGAATCTTCCCGGACCGGGGCACGAACCCGTGTCCCTTATATCGGCAGGCGGACTCTCAACCACTGCACCACCAGGGAAGCCCCTTTTGGAAGATTTTTAATCACAGGTTCAATTTCATTACTTTGATTGGTCTGTTCATATTTTCTGTTTCTTCGTGGTTCAGTCTTGGAAGGTTATACCTTTCTAAGAATTTGTCCATTTCTTCCAGGTTGTCCATTTTATTGGCATAGAGTCGCTTGTAGTAGTCTCTTAGGATGCTTTGTATTTCTGTGTGTCTGTTGTAACTTCTCCTTTTTCATTTCTAATTTTATTGATTTGAGTCCTCTCCCTCTTTTTCTTGATGATTCTAGCTAATGGTTTATCAATTTTGCTTACCTTTTCAAAGAACCAGCTTTTAGTTTTATTGATCTTTGCTATTGTTTCCTTTGTTTCTATTTCATTTATTTCTGCTCTGATCTTTATGATTTCTTTCCTTCTGCTAACTTTGGGTTTTCTTTGTTCTTCTTTCTCTAGTTCCTTTAGGTGTAAGGTTAGATTGTTTGAGATATTTCTTGTTTCTTGAGGTAAGCTTGTATAGCTATAAACTTCCCTCTTAGAACTGCTTTTGCTACATCCCATAGGTTTTGGATCGTCGTGTTTTCCTTGTCATTTGTCTCTAGGTATTTTTTGCTTTCCTCTTTGATTTATTCAGTGATCTCTTGGTTATTTAGTAATGTATTGTTTAGCCTCCATGTGTTTGTGTTTTTTACGTTTTTTTTCCCCCTGTAATTCATTTCTAATGTCATAGCATTGTGGTCAGAAAAGATGCTTGATATGATTTCAATTTTCTTAAATTTACTGAGGCTTGATTTGTGACCCAAGATGTGATCTATCCTGGAGAATGTTCCGTGCACACTTGAGAGGAAAGTGTAATCTGCTGTTTTTGGATGGAATGTCCTATAAATATCAATTAAATCTATCTGATCTATTGTGTCATTTAAAGCTTCTGTTTCCTTATTTATTTT